CCAGGCAGCGGCTTTGCTCAGGTGTCACTGGTCTGCTGGGGGGGGGGGAGGGGCCCAGCGGCTTTGCTGGACCCCCCCCAGCAGACCAGGGAGACCAGGAGAAGCTTTTCTCGCCCCGGAGGACACGGGTGGCGAGCTGCTGCCCGTGAGCTCCGGGGCGAGAAAAGCCCCGTTCGTAAGTGCGGATCCGCATAAGTCGGGGACTGCCTGTATTCTTAATGAGTATGTAAATCTAATGGCCTGCCAAACACATTACATGCGTACATTTGATTTCCACAATGGAAAATGGCTTATGAAATTACACGGTTTGTCTTTCTTTCCTCAAAGGATCAACTTGCTGCAGATATGTATAACTTCGTGTCCAAAGAAGGGGAGTATGCCAGATACTTTGTCATGGTGAGTGTCCTTTTGTTTGCTTACATTCAGTTATGGGTTTTGTAATATACAAAAAACCCTTTAGTTTACATTTAATGTGCTAAACCATCTAATGTCTGTATGTGTTCTTCAGAAGCTAACAATGTTTTTGTTTTTTTTAAAATATGGGTTCTGTTCTCAGTTATTAGAAGCACAAGCAGATTACCATAGAAAAGCATTAGCAGTCTTAGAAAAGGTCCTCCCTGAAATTCAAGCCCATCAAGGTAAAGTAACTTGTGCTCTGGCTGACGCTTCTCCTTGCCTGTGCCACCTCTGCACTCTGTTCTCCTCCTTTATCTTGACTCTTTTGCATGCAGACCCTTTAATAAGGACATTGTGAGCTTTTTAACAATGTTACATTCCCCAACATACTTCCCTCTCTTGCTGCTGTGCTCTCTGGAGTTCCTCCAGTCCTCTATTAACACACTAATCTAACACAAAAGGGTCTGTCTGACGTGGAGAGAGAAAGGGAAGGCTTGTGTTTTTAGGTTGCCCTAGGTACTCCCTCTCACCTGGACAGTGTGACTTCTCATTAACCTCTTTCTGGCACCTTTGTGCCAAAGGGAATTCTCCTTTGAGAGAAAAGGTAGGATCCTAGTTTCTGTGCTAGTATTGTCAGATTCAAACTCCTCTCTACAGGTTTTTTGCCTGCTTTTGCTGCTTTGAATTAGAGTAAATGGTGACTCTTCTGTAACTTTGTCTGCAGATTTGAGGATGTTAGTAGCACATCCAGCGGATACGGGCTTATCATAGGAGGAGGTGGATGGGTTTTCTGGCCTGCAATGTGCAGATGATCACAGTATATGAGCATGATGGTCCTTTCTGGCCTTAAATCTGAATCTAAACTTGGGGGGGGGAGGGCGGAATTATTTTTTTCCTGGATCCTCCACCCCCCCCTTCCCCTGTGCATCTTTTACTGCTACTACATCCTTGCCCCTCAGCCCTAAGGATAATTCTAAGTATTCCAGACTGCAGAGCTACCCTACATCAACTGTTAAGTGTGCATTTAAATAAGGCAGCTACTTCTGATCTATCAAGTTCTGCATTAGTCAGCTAGAGTGTACGATTACCCTTAAATTGTCCTAAACATCATCCTTATCATGCCTGTTGTTGTTGTTGAAGTCATTAGTGCCAAAGGGTTTAACTGGAGCCAACTCTGAGGCCCCACTCAATCATGATCGGTATCAAGTGTGCAGAGATGTAGACAGAGCACAACAAGCTATGGTCCAAGTGGCAATTCTTAAATTCTCTAAAGCAAGGTATTTAGAAATATGATTTTGCTGAAAGTGAGACACACTAGCTGCATTAAATAGACCTCATGGAAGATGCTATTTTGTGGATATTGCAAACTAATAAGCATCTTCCTGGAGTGCTGTGGACAGCTGAGATCTGTTCTGTATCTTAGGCAAGTATCTCTGGTTTGCTTCCTTGCATATTCATTCCCCAGTTTTCTCAACACTCAATAGACTAAGAAGTGAATAATTGCAAAGTATTAGATGGTGTCTGGATTGCTTCCAAAGCAGCCTGGGAAGCAGAATGATCCAGTGGATGCCTGGAGCAGACTGGGGTTCTTGTCCTAACTCTGCTCTAAGTGATTGACTTTGAGTGACACGTAAGCTCTCTGCACCTCACTTTTGCTGCTGTTTGTAAAAACTTGGATAGTTATAACTTGCTTGCCTTCTGTCAAGCACTTAGTGGTGAGTGGATGAAAAAAGCTAAAGAAATGCCACGTAGTAGTGGTGTAGCTTTTCACATTTCATCCATACAGTATGTGAACGACATTCTTAGTAGAAGCCACAGTGCATCTGCACCAGACTTTCAAACCTGGTATACTCAGCTCTTTCATTTTTTTTTTCTTTCTGAAAAAACAAGTGCCTGAGAGAGACTAGCAGCTCGCCTGTGCTTTCCATGCATTTTTTCAGTGACAGCAGCAGAGAATCCTGGCTAAGTAGAAAAATAATGTATCGGGGCAAATCAAGATGCCCTATAATGGGGGAAATATTTTGGGTCAAACTTTTTTTTAAAAAGCAAGCAAAACCAACCCAGGCATTGCAGCCATGAGGAAAGTTGTCAAGTGAGCTTGAATGCTTTTTTGGAAAAGAGAGGGTAGGATTGATACTAGAAGAATGACAGACCCTTTAATATGGTGATTCTTGTGGAGACATGGGGCCACTAATGATAAATGTCTAAATAACTAACAATTTTAACTCAGAAGGCTCTGTTTTTGTTTTAGCTGTTAACATAAATGTCAGCTGCAGGTAAAAAACCATGTTACAAATAGCTCAGATCAAGTAATTTGAACTTATTCCGTGCAAAATTCTATATCTACAAGGGGAATGCAAGTCTACACTTTGAACGCAAGTCTAGTCCCTTGGAGAATCGGAATGAATTTAATAAATTTAAAACCACATTAATGCATTCCAACTAGCTCATGGTGAGGACATAATGTCTTCCACTCATGCAAGGGAATAAATTTCCATCCAAGAGAGATGGGTCATTTTTTACAGTCATGGTGACACCTGCAGGCTCATCATTTTTCTCTCTTCATAAATTTAAGAGGCTCTTACAAATCAAGACTCAAACTTGCTGCTGCCTTTTTGGTAAATTTCTACGGCCCTACTGGCGACTCTTCTCTAAACTTATCTCTGGGGCATAATACAAGTTATATTGGATATGTAGCTCAGTGTTCTTCTGCTCTTTAACTAGACAAATGGACAGAAAAGCCAGCCTTTGGAACACTATTGGAAGAGCATCTCAAACGCAGTGGTCGTGAAATTGCACTCCCTATTGAAGCTTGTGTAATGATGCTCTTGGAAACAGGAATGAAAGAGGAGGTAAGGACTTCTACTTCATGTGCACTGGTCTTTTTCTCATGTAAAAGGCTCCACTCAAAGGAAGATCGACACATTAGAACCTGTAAAATTATTGGGTGAGGATGTAGTAACCATACCTGTGTGAGTTTGTGCTAGGGTGCATAAGTGCATGTGCATTTTGTCCACTGGTGTGATATTAGAAGCCTTACAGGCTTATGTTTGTCAGTTACATCCAAAAATCAGATGCAATTTAACCTAAATGTAGAAAACAGACTAGCCGAGAGAGAAATGAAAGCATGGTTGTGCCTTCTTCAAGTGATGGTCGCTTGTGTATTCCAGTCGTGGGTATGCACATGCTGGAGCCAGAAGGTTTTCATAGGCGTGTCTGTTGACCCACACTTGTGCCATGCATTTCCTTGTGCTCCCAGCTCAGCGTATATTTGGCCATGCATGCCTCCAAGGGGGACTGAAACCCCTTCACTCCCTTGTCATCCGCCATGTCTTTGCCTTCTGCCTCTAGAGAGCCCATGTCTTTTGGACACCACCGAAGCTATTTGTAGCAAGTGCAGATGAGTCCAAAGGCCAAACACTTGCCTCCCAGCAAATCTCGAAATGAGTTTTTGATTGCATCTGGATGTGCTACGTGCTGTGACGTACGGTCACAGATACAATTACAGCACATTCTAGGAGTGCAGGCTACCATGCTGGCATACCAAGCAGACGTTTCCTGGCAGGACGTCCATTGAACAGTAACGTGGTGATCTCTTCTCCTTCACCTCTCCCTACCCTGTCACCCAAGCTGTGGCTGTGGGCTACGCTGTAGTACAGACTGAATGTTCCTCTGCATCCTGACACCCACCTCCATGCGGATTACTGCTTGCTACTCCCTCACCATTGGAATACTTACAGGGGCCACCACTTGAAGAGCTTACTTACCCATAACTGGAGGTTCTGCGAGATGTGGGGACCCTATTTGTATTCAAGGGGTTCTCTGGAGAGCTGTTGACCCACATAGCCTATTAGAACCTCAGCTGGGAACATGGGGAAATGCATCTGGGTCACTGGAGCCAAAAGGGTTTCATGGCAGTGTCCTGGCACCCCTGCGCACCTGAGAGTGGCTTGCCAATACGGGCAACACAGCTCGAAGAATCTCCAGCTACAGGGAAGTCCTCTCCTCTCTTTCGTGCAGCTGACTGTCATGGCAGAGTCCAAAACCAAAACATTAAACTTGTAATATCTGTGAAAATGGAGTCTAGGTCACAGTAGGGTTGTAAGTACGCTAGCATTGTAACCGTGACAGACGAGACCAGCTGTCGCTCCAGTCAACTTGATGCTTTGACCCTCCTACTGTAGGGCTTATTCAGAATTGCTGCAGGAGCCTCCAAACTGAAGAAGCTGAAAGCTGCTTTGGACTGTTCTACTTCCCAGCTAGATGAATTTTATTCGGACCCTCATGCCGTTGCAGGTATTTGGTGTACTCCATATCGCACCCTGTACAAACTACTTCAGGCAATGAAGGTGCAACTTGATTTTAAGTTTAACCTGGCAGACATATTACAATATGAGCTATATTAGATATGAACTGTACATGAAAATAAAGTGAGCCTCCCATCCTAACTGCACAGCCTTGGAGACCAAGTGAAGGGTGCCTGTGCTGTGGAACTTTTGCACATTTATTTCTGGAAGACCAGAGCAGTGTTGAAAACTCAGGTGACCATGTTGATACGAGCATCTTGTTTCTCATGGCAGGGCTCTGAAAATGATCAAGATAATTGTGCAGCTGGTCCTGCCAGGCAAGGGCTTTAGTTACTACTTGAGGCTTTTACCGTGTGTGTTCTTCTCAGCTAGATGAGTACAGGGTCACTGCAGTGGCCAGAAGGCCTCGCTGTGTTCAGTGTTGCACACACACATTGGCGGGGAAGTCTGAAGTATGTTCAGTCTAGGGCCTGATCCTGCATAGACTCGGTGCCTCACTGAGGTGCAAGGATCAGATTGTGAGGACTGAAGCAAACAAAATCTAATGAGTCTGTATGATTTACTGGCAGGTGCCCTGAAGTCCTATTTACGAGAGTTGCCTGAACCTTTAATGACCTACAGTCTGTATGAAGAATGGACGCAGGTTGCAAAGTAAGAGCGCTTAAAATCTAGATATGCAGAGAAATGTGTGTGCTAACTTATGTAACTATTAAGTGAGGAAGAATAAACTCAAGGAAAAGTTCACACAATTGTGCTAATGGGCTTGCAACTTCTGCTAATAAATATTTGTGTTGAATCCATCTTTGAATTTTTATGCATTCATATCCTGAGCTGGTTTTAAAACTATTAAAATATACTTCAGCAAACCAGCTTCCATTCCATTTGAGTGTTCAACTATTTCAGGCTCTTGGTTACACTCTGAGATATGCTAAGTGCATTGCCTATTGCGAGCAGAGTTCATGATGGCAGTTGAGCAGGTATAAAAGAATACATGCAGAAGCAAGAGGGTAATTGTACGTAGATGAAAGCCTTTCCTTTGCTGGTAGCTGAAGGAATTCTGTTTGCTGAGCTGAAAGTTTTCTTTCCCACAGTGTACAGGACCAGGACAAGAAGCTGCAAGACTTGTGGAGAATTTGTAAGCGACTGCCAAAGCCTAACCTGGCTAATTTCAGGTACATTAAGGACAATTGCTATTGCTTTTAGCACTGCAGCTTCCGTGCTGTTTCAAGACTAGGATTAATGAGATGCATGTTGATCTGGTTTGTATTTTCTCTGCTAGGTTCCAGTAGGATTGTAAAGGGAGATATGATGGTTTTATCAAGGCACAAATTGCCTTAGGCCATGTCTATACTTCAAAGTTAAGTTGACATGGACCCTCCAATTTAAGCAAGTCAGTCTTGTCTCCATACTATGCTCGCTGTCGGCAGAGTGCACCCTCACTAGCAGGGCTTGTGTGGAGGCACAGAGTACTGCCATGCAGGGAGCTATTCCACAGAGTGTGGAGTGGAATTTTGAGTTGGGCATGCACTGCCTTATGGTACCAAACATTGGCACAGGTGGCTATGGGAATGTGGCATTAGCTTCTTGTGATACACTGACCTCCCTCCATGCCTGAAATCCACAGCAAACCAACCAAGCCTGGGTTATCCACGCAGACGCCCTTGCACAAGTATGGACCCTGCTCAGCTGTATGCTGTGGTGAGCATTACAAACACCTCGTGCCTTAAGCTTCAGAGTTTACACATCTGATTCAAGAGCCACTATGTGGACCAATGGCATAGCACACGAGCAGTCCTGCTGGGAGATGGTGCAGCAATGCGTGGGTGCAACAGTCATGCATCACTTTGACATGGTCGAGCCCTGTTTCTGTGCCGGGGGAACGAGCACTGACTGGTGGGACTGCATTGTTATGAAGGCATGGGATGATGAGCTGCGGCTGCCGAGCTTCTGAATGCATAACGCCACTTGCCGGGAACTGTGGGAAGAGCTTTCCCCCCACCCTGAAGCACGGCAGTACTAAAATGAGAGCTGCTCTGGCAGTGGAGAAGCGAGTGGGGATAGCTTCGTGGAAGCTTGCAACACCAGACAGCTGCTCATCAGTGGAACATCAATTAAGAATGGAAAAATTTCCCATGGGATCTGCTGTGACCCAGGCTTGCAGGGCCATTGACAGACTTCTGCTGAGAAGAGTTGCTACTCTGGGTAACGTGTAGGACATTGTCGGTTTTGCCACAATGAAGCAATAGACTGAACATGTGTCCCTATCATGGCACCAGACCACGCTGCCAAAGAGTACCTAAACTGAGAGGGGGACTTCAGTAGTGGTGTACATGCTGGTGAATCACAGGCGCCATCTCACCAACATCAGTGTGGGACAGTTGGGAATGTTCGTGACATGCTCATCTTTAGGAACACGGACCTTTTCAGAAAGCTGCAAGCAGGGACTTTCTTTCCAGACTGCAGAATAAGCATTGCTCATGTTGAAATGCCATTTGTAGTCCTGGGAGACCCAGGCTACCCCTTCCTCCCATGACTCAGGAAGCTGTACTCTGGCAATCTGGACAGCTTTAAGGCTCAGTTCAACTGTACCCAGAGCAAGTGCAGAACAGTGGTTAAACATGCTTTTGGATGTTTAAAAGGTCACTAGTGCTGTTTGCTTCTAGACCTCAGTGAAAGCAATATTCTTATTATTGCAGCCGGCTGTGTGCTTAATAATATCTGTGAAACAAAGGGAGAAAAGTTTCCACTTGGGTAGGGGGTTGAGGCAGATTGCCTGGCAGCCAATTTTGAGGAGCCAGGCAATAAGAAGAGCACATTGAGGTGCTCTGCATCTCCAAGATGAAAAGTCTCAAAGGGTGGGCTTATTAGCTTGTGTCTTCAAAAACAGCAAAGAGTCCTGGGGCACCCTAGGCCTGGTCTACACTGAAGGGGGAGGTTGAATTAAGATGTGCAACTCCAGCTACGTTAATTATGTAGCTGGAGTCTAGAATCCTAGAACACTAGTACTGGAAGGGACCTCGAGAGGTCATTAAGTCCAGTTCCCTGCCCTCATGGCAGGACCCAGCACCACAGCAGGAGGCTGATGGAAGCAAACACTCCTGTCAGCTTCCTCTAGCTCCCTGCAGTACTAGACCCACTAAATCAAACTCCAGAAGATCAATTGCCCTGGATTGCAACATTGATCTTCCCATTAGAGGAGACATGACTTTAGAGACAGACAGATTTATTAGGACATAAGCTTTCATGGGTAAAACCCACTTCAGATGAATTGCAGTGGAAATTAGAGGCAAGGTAGGGGTGTGTGTATGTGGATATAGATATAGATATAGATGGATGGAAGAAATTGCTTGTGTTAATGAGGCTAATCAAGTCAGAGTGGAAGTGGCTCATTTACAGCATTTTGTGGAAATGTGACTATCCAGAGAGGAGAAATTGCCTTTGTAATGCGGTAACCAGTTGAGATCCTTATTCAGTCCTAAATTGACAGCATTGAATTTGCAAATGAATGTTCAGCTGTCTCCCTTTGTAATCTGGTTTTGAAATCCTTTGGTAGAAGAATGGCTACTTTCAAATCTATTACTGAAGGTCCAGGGAGGTTAAAGTGTCCCCCTGCAGGCTTGTGTGACGGGCTTCCTCATGTAATTAAATCAGTGGATAAATGGACACAAGAGACTGTTTCCTGTGGCCAGTATCCGTGGCATAGGAGCATTGCTAGCAGTTGATGGCATAGATCACAACAGTGGATGTGCAGGTGCATGAGCCCCGATATTGTGGCTGATGTGGTTAGGTCCTGTGATGGTATCACTGGTAGGGATGTTAGATACCAGGTAACTGAATTGTTGTATAACTGCATGAAATCTTTGTGGTTACATGATTATTCGATAGTCCCTGGGGGTAGGGCCGGCAGCCAGTGTCTCCTAGCCCCACTCCCAGAGAGCGCCCTCCCATGAGCTCCCCGTGCAGGCCTGCTGCCTTGCACTGCTGCCTAGGATACAGAAGCAGCAGTGTGGAGTGGCAGCAGCCCCTGTCCATGGGGGATGGGAGGCAGGGGTGAGAGGTTTTGTGCTGCTGCTTTTGTTAAGACATTCTTGGGATCACAGGCTGGAACACGAAAATGCCCCTTTCCTAACCAACCTGGATAGTGCGTGAGGACCGGCACCAGTGTAAATCATTTGTTATAGAAGTGGCACTGGGTTTTGGGGGGGGAGGGGAAGAGGAGGGGGGAGAGAGACACAAACAGGAAGTCCCTCCACCTTTTTTCCCCAGTGTTTCTCCAGTGTTGCTTGCAATACAAGACAACTCTTTCCAAACACAGCCATGGGTCGGTTTGGGAAAGCGTGGTTGTATGACCAGTGTCCCCCAACGGGGAGCATGTTACTTGTTGAATGGTTTGCAATTCCAGGGCTAGCATTGAAAAGTCATCTTGTTTCTCCTAGGTGGCTCTTGTGATGCCTCTCTCCTCAAGGCAATGGAGGCAGCAAGGGAGCGGATGCTGCCAGTTTCTGGGTACAGCCCTGGTGCTCTAGGATTAAAAACAGTTCTTGGCTGTTGGGGGAATGCTTCCTGTTCTCCTCCTCCTTTTCCTTGTCAGCAGGGTCCTCCTTGTTGTTGCTTGAGGTCACCTGTGGCTCCTGGAAAGTATCCACAAAGTGTTTTGGGGGTAGTGGTGGGTCACCAACAAAAATCCCATGCAGGCCTCATAAAAGCATCAGGTCTGTGGGGCAGAACCAGAAGAACTGGTCGCTTGACAAAGCTCCTTTCTCTTCACGTGTAGTTCGGCTTCCCATTCCCTGTGCAGTCTTGGCACTGGATCAGGGCTCTGCCTGCACAGATTCTTCTCCCCACACCGCAATAAGATCCACCATCACCAGTGTGCTCCATGCTGGAGCGCGTTGGTGGCTGGCGTCTCCATGGTCAGCTGTGCTGGCAAGCTCTCCATGCTTAACAAACAGGAAATGAAAATTCAGAAGTTCCCAGGGCTTTAACAGAAGCAGCTGTTTCCTGTATCTGGCTGACATGCAGTAAGTTGAAGGCGCTTGTCAGAGCGGAGCACTGTGGCGCACACCTGAAGAACTGTCCGTTTGAGTGACACAACGCAGTATCTGCACTACCCCGCATCAGTCCGTGGATGTTGAATCAAGCACTACAACTGTCGTGGAGATGGGGTACAGAAGTTGACTTTACAGGCCACTTAGGTTGGCTGAAGGGACTCAGTAGCACAGACACATTATTAGATCAACTTAATGTGGCTTATGTCGACCAAAGTTTGCAGTGTAGACTAGGCCTTCATGTTCAGTTGATGGTTCCAGTCACTTTAATTCCTTGAAGTGGGGGTCACATAAAATTGTTCTCGGCTCTCTCACCTGGACTGATTACAGAACAGTAGTGTAAGCTTCACTCCAGTGGTACTTTAGATAAACTACGCATGGTGCAAGAGCGTTCAGCTTCTCACCTTTCCCTTGAGCTTTGCACACTCAGACTCTGCACCTGGCTTCTTCCTAAGTAGCTCTCATGCTTGCTGATTTCACCCTTGCCCAGTGACACACAGCAAAACCAAAGTCTCTAGCTCGGAGCCGTCTTAAATGCATGATAGGAAAATGTTTACAGTAATTCGGCTTTATTTAATGTGCTTTCCTAGTGCATGATCGCTCTAGTCTCCGTACTCTAATCTACTTAGAGTAAAATATACCTGATGTAGTTCCAACATACTTAAAATGGAGGCTATTTCCTATTAGTCACTTTCTCAGCTCAGTTTTCACTGATTAATGGGAAGAAATTTAGTAGCAAACTTCTAAGCGTGAAATTTTAACCCCTTTTTTTAACCAAAGATGCTCTTAAGTGGATTTTGGAAGTTTGACTTGAAATATGACTTGAATGTTTGATATTCCAGGCAGTGAGAGACAGCAGTTATGTTTTAAGCAAGAAAATAACTTGCTTAATTTGCTAGCATAGCTTTGTCTATAGTGAGTTGCCACTATAACTGCCTAATGGCTTGGTTCCTCCTTTGTAGGTATCTAATCAAGTTCCTAGCAAAACTTGCACAGAACAGTGACATTAACAAAATGACACCCAGCAACATTGCCATAGTGTTAGGTCCCAACTTGCTGTGGGCAAAGAATGAAGGGTAAGTTGATTTTTAAATGCTATTTCTAATTGTATCTTCTGTCAAGGATAGAAGTAGAGCTGTAAGTGCTTTCCTTTGGCGTGAAAAGCTCTCGAACAAGTTGTTAAGAAATGAATAGTAAAGAGTGGGATTTCAGAAGCATTCTGCTATCTCTTGCCAATGAATAGTAAGAAATGGCACACAGAAGAGTGGCATAAAGGCTGTGTGTGTCAGAATTTTTCAATAACATGCACTTTGTGGGATTCTAGAAATGTGTCAGTCATTAAGCATGTAGTTGCACACTCTTTTTATCCAGTTTTTGTCATGCAAAATGGAGGGGAAACAAATTTTTAACTTTGAAAAAGTTGTCTGTATCAGAGACTATGTATTTCTGCATTTTGTCCATAGATCACTTGCCGAAATGGCAGCAGCAACTTCGGTCCATGTGGTAGCAGTTATAGAGCCAATAATTCAGCATGCAGACTGGTTCTTCCCTGAAGGTAAAGACTTTCAGTAATGTGAGGAATTCTGCCAACACTAGTTCCATGGTATTCCTTCTTAGATAATTAGGAATACAAACAGGTGATGCACTGCTTTTGTGTACATATGTCTTACAGTGCGGTATCTGTCTTCATCTAGATGTGGATTTTAATGTATCTGGGGCATTTGTTGCTCTTCCTGCCACGAATTCCAATCATTTCTCTCAACCTGGGAATGAGTATGATTCGGGGACACTGGAACGGAAGAGGCCTGTTAGCATGGCTATCATGGAAGGCGATTTGCTGAAGAAGGAAGGGTATGTTTAGCTCTTGCATTGTTCTTTCCAGACATTAGCCCACTCTTGAACTCCAAATCACTGATGGGGTTAGAATTGGATGTGACTGTAGCTCACCTTAAAATAAAATTCAGAAATTGTGATCAGAAGGGGAATTCTATAGAAATGCTCCTAGATAACCCCTGAGTGATTTATTTCCCCTCATATTATTGCAGCCTGAGGAAGGTTCAAAGGTAATGTACTGGCATTTCCTTCCAGTTATGCTCTGTGCATGATAAACCCAAGCAGATAATTGCTGCTTCTGTTCACAGTATTCCCAATTCATAGATTTTTTTTTTTTAGGTCTCAAAATAATCCATTACCAATAAACATACATTTGATACCATTTATTTGCTTTAACTTCTGAATGTTCCAAGGCTTCTGTTTAAAACCACAGGCTGAAGTGGTGTTATCTGGTGCCTTCATGATAAAAGACTTCTGATTTGATGATGGTACAGTATACCATGTCAGATGTGCTGTATTTACTCCATACATGTAGTGTATTTGTTAGCAGTTTTTTCATATCCGTATTTAAGGGATGTGCTGTTCTAACTCCTTATGCAAATGTTAAATTGTTATCTTGGTTTTAACTATGGTTAGATGCATGCAAATTCATGTGTAATATACTAATCACAACAGTATACTATATTTCCCTGCTACTATCATGTAGTGTAAAGTATTGACAGAGGGGAAAAGAGAATGAATTCAAGGTTCATTTCTTTCTTCTTTTAGTGGATTTTAACCACGTCAAATTAAGGATTTCTAGAACATGCTGTGCTAGCTTTTTAAAATGGCATATATTAGAGCGATAAAGCTTATCCATAGTTAAATAAGGTAGTAGTTTCCTTCCTTTTTCATGCTTTTAACCATGCAAATGTATATGAGCCTGTCTTTAGTTCACACGCATTTATCTTGAAGTGGACATGGTGCCTTGAAGATATCATTTGCAAAACACCAAATACACAAGTCTGAAACTCTCCTGGTGTCTAAGGAAATGTGTATATACTTCCCAGTGGGGTAAAAGTACTCAGCAGTCAGCGCTCACTTGCATCAATGTGTAATTGTAATTGAATAGCCCATCCCAGTGGTGTCTTAGTTTACCCTTTTGTGTGAGTAACTCAAGTTGTGTTGCATGTCTTAACAATAGTGGTGTCCTATGAAGAAAGGTGAAGCTTTCCTTGTTGCTTCTTTGCATGCTAAGCAACATGGGTTGCTCTCTTTGGGTTGTAACCTGCAATGTTGCTTTTGGCTTTGTTTATCTGGAGTTGGCCTGCATGGTGTGTTTACTCTCTCCTCTCTTTAGCTTTGGTGTCAAGGTTATGGACTTCCCAGTGAATCCTCGGAGATGTGGCACTATAAATAGAAAGCACACATCCCCAGCTTTCCAGCCACCACTTCCACCTACTGAGGCTGGCATGCTGGCTCAGCCTGTAGCAGAGCAGCATTCACAGGGTTCTGTGGCTGAAACTAGCCCAGTGAGTGCAACTTCTGCTCCATTTACTGGCACAGCAGAACATGTACACACTCAAGGAAATGAGGATGTCAGGTAAGAAGTCTGGCTTCTATTGGCAGTGGCTTAAAAGGCTGCTTCAGCAACAAACCGATCTGTCAGTATAATTAATCAACAGGGTACTACCATCCAGCTTGAATATACTTTTTATGAAGTGCTTTGAGAGAAATTCATGAAAAGCACAATGCGAGAGATGATTGTGCATCTTCCTATTTTTAATTTGAAGTTACTCTAAAATCCGTTGTACAATAAGAGAATTTTCAAGAATTCTCCATCAGTATACTCTGCTTCCCCCTATTGATTGATCTCTTCTTGTCATAATCAATAAAGTTTCTAAGAACCTCAAGTTCAGTTTATTGCTGGAAGCACTAAAACTCAGTGGCAATACTAGAAGCCTATAAGTTTTGTCTTGTTCATTTCTGTGTAAGTGATCTAGTTTTGTCTTGTGTGCTTTTTGTTAGCGAGTGTGTTAGCAAGGAACAGACATAATCTTAACCAGCAAGTCAGAAGTCAGTTTATCACTCTTTGGCATCAGTTTCATTAACATAATGGCATAGTAGGTTTTCACTTGACTGCTATTGAAATTTTGTGCAATCATTTAGTTTCTTTGTTAATCACTAAATAATTTTATCGTGAGACTAATTATTATTGATTTGCCTATTCTTTTCATCCTCCAGAGTTGATGTAACACTTTGCTTTTGGTATTTTTCTGGTTCATCTGACTGAGTGCTAGTAAATATTAAGTGAAGTTTGGAGAGGATTAGTCTCCAACCTCCAACAAAGTAAATCAGGCCACAGATGTGCCATTGCTGTATTGGTGCAGCTCAGTAGCTTTGTTAATTTAGAAGTTAATCCATTATGATCTAATTTGAAATAATGTTACTTGGGAACAAAAGTGAAGTATAAAACAAGTGTCCAAGATCTAACTCTGAAAACTATCCCCAAGCTATTAGTAATCAAGATTAGTACTTGTGGCTTCAGAAGTACCAGCAGCATAGAGGGGGTTGGTCTCTGCCTTTAAGGGAATGTACTGATGGCTTCATGAGTGTTAATAAATTCTTTAGTGTAGTTGTGTGGCTTTTCCCACAACACACACAAATGGGTTTATATTGTGGTGGTATCCAAAAGCTGCAATCAGAAACTGCACACAAGACCCTGTGTGATGGACCAGGCCGTGTCTGGGCACAGCTGAGGGCGTCCGCTCAGGGAGAATTGCTGAAATCCTGGGCTCCTTACAGCCCCCAGACTGGTGACCTCTCCGAACAGGCCACAAACCAGTCCCACAGAGCGCTTCAGCTGTCTGCCTGAAGCCTCACGAGCAAAACCCCTCTGACACCCCAGCAATATCCGTGCCCCAGATGGCCCTGGGCCTCATACACAGGAGGGGGGGTCTTAGCACCCAATCCCACCTACCCCGAACAAGTTCTGTCCAGTTCCAAGAAACCGGCCACAGATCCCTGGTCAATTTACCCTTTGGACCTTACCCACAAATCACGCTGGGCCAATCCTTTAGAATCTATATCTAAAGGTTTATTATTACAATAAAGAAAAGCATGAGAGTAAGGTTGTTAAAGGAATAGTACGTTACATGCATCGAATCTCCCAGTCCTCGACGCAGGCTCTAGCAGAGATGTTACAGCTGCTGGTTTAAAAGTTCTTGTTGCACATCCTAGCATCAGGATGGGTTCACAGGTCTTCCGGGCTCTTCGATCCCTGCAATGCTGCCTCTGGGATGAAGTGCTGAGCTGAGAACAAAATGGAGTCCCCCACATGGCCTCTTTATACATCCTTCCTGGCCTCTCCTTGGCCGCAGCCGGTCACCTGGCTGTCAGCCTCTCTCTGCTGCAGCTCTTAGGCTTCCGCCCTCATGCTTTAGGTGTGTCCTTGGCCCATCGAGTGCCATTGTCCCACAGGGCCTCACTAATTAGCATGTCCATAGGCCAGGCTCTGCCCAGTGCTCAACCACATTCAGAGAAATAGTCACTCCACACAGATTACAGATTCCTAACTACACACGCAGACATCACACAATCCCACAAATAGCGTACACAGGATCAGCAGACAGCAAGCTTCTATTCAACACCCCACCTGGCCCCCTTCTATACCATTCTTGGGGCCAACATCCCCACCTATGGGTGCAGCAGCGACACCCTGCCCAAAAATAAAGACAGGAGGGGAATGTACAACACAGACAATGATCTGAAGCAGGGTTTAATTTCATTTTTGTATTGAGGGAAGTACAGGGTTTGAGGACATTGCAGAAGTAACACTGCAGCTGTATGGCAAGGAGCAGGGATTGGGGAAAATGCAGTCCCACACCCTGCCCCTCTCACAAACTAGACACATGGGTTCTCCTCCCAGTCCTGCTGTCCTTATGCCATGGTGTCACTTTTTCTCTGGCTCTGCTCGTCCCTACATCTTAATGCTAATCCCCACTCTTCCCTACTTGCCCCATTTGTGGGAACCAACTAACCTCTTGTCTTCCCTGGAGTACCTCACTGGTGATCTGTGTGGCAGAAGCCGATCCGGTGGCAGATTCTCTGGCTCTCTTCTGAGCTGTGCGTTATTTCAGAAGGAAGCTCCTCCTATCAAGTAGCCTCAACCATGCCTAGTGGCAGCTTCAGCATGTTTCAGCCCTCCAGCCTGGGCTGCACCACAGTGCTTTCACAGCTCTCTGTGGGGCACAGCTTGATAGGCTTCAGTGTCTAGATCAGAGATTATGGGGTGTGTCAATCAGAAGACGTCCACAGCTCTCCTGGCGTAGTGTTGTGTTCTCCAGAATCTCAGCTCTCCTTGAAAATCATCTGTAGCTATTACATTGCAAGGGAAACTTCAAATGGAAATGAAATGTAACTGATGAAAGGATTTCTGAGTCTGTGCTGAGTGCCTCTGCAACAACCCCGGGGGTATGGCCTGCCCCATTTATCTCAGCGAGGTGTTAACTCAGATAGCTGATATCAGTGGGAAGAAGGGAGTTTTATACCAGTATGGGTGTCTCCGTGCCAGTCCTGCACTATAGTCCCCAGCCTGTTGAACTACATCAAAGTTAAAAACTAAACCCCAGGTGGGAGATACTGAGTAGCTACACTGTGGCAATGAAACTGCTGCTGTCATAAGTGATAGAAATGTAGCCGTGTTAGTCTGGTGTAGCTGAAAGTGCTACATAGTCCTGTTTTTTGTTTCTGCTGTCATAAGACATTCCCCCAGCCAAGAAGCCTAGCAAACCCCAGAAGCATACTGAAGCCAAGCACAAGAAGTAAGAGGAGCGCAGAAATGCCTGCATATTGTGAATATCTAACATGAGCAGTCGCATTCTGGTGGCTCACATGATCTAGCGTGGGCTGAGCTTACACAGTATACCACTTTTCTTCTCCAGTCTCACCTTGGGGCATATCTGACTAGCTGCTCTTTGCTGTGTCCTGTGATAGGGGGGGCCACAGAGATTGTTCTGTTAAAACCACAGACACAAGGTAACTTAATTTTTTGGGAGTAATCCACGTTTCCATGAATTTTCAAGTTGGGAGTCTGGTAAACAAGCCTCAAATGTATTGACTCCTTTTCAGCACAGAGAGAATTCAGTTCATCCTAGAACAATATTTAATTTCAGTATGTTTTCCGCATTCTTGCATGGCTGGCTGAAGATTTATTTGTATTCCAGGCCATTGTTTTAGAAAGATTATATCTTACGTAGTCTACAAGACCTCCTTAAGACTCAAGCTTGGTGTATGCTAGAAAATTTAATTGTCAGGGATGTGAAAAATTCATAGCTGAGTAACACTTTTGTGTAGCCAGCACTAGATTGATAGAAAAATTCTTGTGTTGACCCAACTACTGTCTCTTGGGGAAGTGGGTTTACACTAGGGGAGAATCCCTCCCATCAGCACAGAGTGTCTGCAGCTGTCCTGCTGTACCTATGTTAAGTGTAGACAAGCTTGAAGTGAACAGCTGATCATGGCAGATCTAGAGATGCAGTCTCATTACCTCACTTGTAACTCAGCCTCCCTTGAAGCACTATGCATGTTCAGAAGCTTCAGGGGGTAGCCGAGTTAGTCTGTACAGGATAAACTTAAACAACAAATGGTCTGGTAGCACTTTATAGACTAACAAAACATGTGGATGCTATCATGAGCTTTCATAGGCACAGCCCACCTCTTACATACCCACGAAAGCTCATGATACAATCTACATGTTTTATTAATCATGAGCTTTCGTGGGCATGTAAGAGTGGGCTGTGCCTATAAAAGCTCATGATAGCATCCACATGTTTTGTTAGTCTATAAAGTGCTACCAGACCAGTTGTTGTTTTTCAAATACCATGTTAGTACAGGAATCTTTTTGTTTCCTAGGACTCAGACACATGTATCAAAGTTTTACTCTTTCTAGTGCAAACCCATGAGTTTGTTGCAATACATCTGGGAGCGGGGTATTTCAAAAGCAACTTCTGATTCACATGTTTTAAATTTTCAGTACCTCAAAGCCCAGAGAAACTGCAACTTCAACTACTCCTCCCCCCGTGAGAGATGGTGGGCACTTAGGCACTATGCAGAGCCAGCCGCAGTCAACAAGTAGCCCTAATCAGCTTTGTGCCAGCCAGCCACCAAATGCTGCTGGTCCCAGCCCGCATGCAGTGAGGCGAGGTATGTTGGATTCTTGATTTCAGTTCTCGATGTGGCTATTTGTGGTTAAAATTGTGACTTATCACCCTAGGTGCTTGCCCAAGTAGCTGTTTTCTGGGATCTCTTTTCCATTATTACACTCCAGATTTATATGGTTTACTCCACCCAAGCCAAAGTTCAACAGTATTTTACCAAAACCTACTTAAACTTGTGTTGTCTTCAGACTCGTCCATGGTAGCATATTGTGATGTTGACAGTGCTATGCAATGGCATCACTCAGGCAGACGTCTGCTTATTAATAACCTTTGCGTGCATTTCTTGGTAACCTTTATGAAACTACAGCAGTAGTAGGCCTGAGTAACTTCAATTGGAAAGTGGCTGTTTTAAATGATGTTACACGTTTCCTTATTGCAAGGTTTTGTTTCAGCTATAAACAGTATCTAATATATTTTTACTAATGTCTCTCCAAGCTGTTAAAAAGCCTGCACCAGCACCTCCCAAACCTCCACCTGGGCAGCCAGGAAACCACGGTTCTACTCCACCAGTTCAGCTACCTTCTGTCTCTCCAAAACCACCCACCAGAAGTGCTTCTCCTCCTGGACAACTTACAAACCCAGGGGCAGGCCAGACTTCCACTTCTTCCCAGGTTTCTGCCCCTCGGAGATACTCCAGCAGCCTCTCCCCAATACAAGCTCCTAACCACCCCCCTCCACAGCCCCCCTCACAGGCTACACCTCCACTGCAGCCTAAACTAAATAGTCAAGTGTCTTCTCCACCTGCTGTACCTAGTGGCGAACATGGACCCGAGCAGGCACCTTGTACTCCACCTCAGACTCCAACACCACCTGATACGCCACCTCCAGGAAAACACAGTGCTAGCGCCGCACTCTCTCAGCTGCAGTCATCTACCCAAGAAACTTCGCAGTCTCATTCTCCTCCTCAAACCGGGACATTACCAAGGCCAAAGCCAGTACCAAAGCCCCGGAACCGACCTAGTGTTCCCCCACCACCTCATCCTCCTGTGTCTCTGTCAGCGGGAGACAGTGTACTTACAAATCCCACTCAGACGGCTTCCAAAATAGTAACAGGTAAGTGACACTTCCTTGTGAGCTGTAGCATGTTAATATTGGAGGGGGAGGGGACTCTACTGCTGTAACATCATGCGAAGCACTGATGAACCATCTTGGGTGAAATAAAGAATGCAAGTTCAGTGACATTAATAACTTGGAGCTCTATTTGGTTAAAATGCTTGAATTGCGTATTATGGTATATGAGGTTTTCATTCTTATAAGAAGGAATGTGATTGACTTTCCACATATGTTTTCCAGCCTTTGACGGCACAGCATTGTTACAGGACTCAAGTGTAAATGGCTTTCCCAGGCTCACCACATCATGGCAGCTACCCTTATGTAGGCACTTGGGGCAGAAATGGCAAATGCTTTGAAGTGGGAGGAGGCCACATATCCTAAGCCAAGATGTCCAAAGTGGTAATGACTTTGCATGCCCTGACACAATCGTAATAGACCTGCCTTTTTGGGGGGGCAAAGGGGGGAAATCAGCCCCCTCCCTCTGCCCTTTAAGAAGATCCAAATTGGGTGCCCAAAATCACTTAATTGTATCTGAACAACTGGCCAAGTAAAAATATAGTGTACTGTGCTGCTCTCAGTGTCTCTGCACTGCTGTCAAAGATGCACATAACATCAGTGAGCCTGTGGCAGCATAGGCTGGACAAGGCCGTTTGGGGATCCTGGAAATCCGTTCAAGTGGCTAGTCTGTGCTGCTGGGGCATCACAGCTATATTTAAGACTAGTTAGATCAAACTTCACTTGTGTGTATATATAAACATACTGTAATCACACCTCTGGCTGCAGTGTAGAAATGCATTCATGGGGCAGTAGGTGATCTCACAGGAACAGTACAGAGTCTGCAGTTTATATAGATGATAGGTGATACTAATGAATTTAAATCTTCGTTTGAAAACAGCACCTTGGAAATGTCTTCCTGCTAAGTCTGACTCTTTTTAGATACTTAATAAAAGGAAATATAATGAACATAAAGACTAATGCTTTTAAATCTGCTTATATTAATGGTTAAAAACCCTTTCCAATGACACTTTAGCTTTCTAGAATAAAGACTGTTTTTGTTTAGAATGCAAACTATATTCTGTTACCTAATAGCTCTACCCCATGATGCCTTCACAGGTGGGGAAGGTTGCTGCGAATAAGGTTTGTACTGATCCAAGCCCTGCAATACAGCTACCGATGCTCTTATGCAGCTATTCTCTTTAGCTTTATTTTGTTCATGCACTTCAAAATGTGTGCGTTTGTCAAATTTGTACTATATCTCATTATTACACATCCAGTTTTTAACAGACATTAGGACCCGTGTTTCATTTTGATATTCACTTGCAAGCTTTTTAAAAAAAAATCCTAGTTAAAGTGTTTTATAAAACCATGCCAAGACTTAACACTTGAACTTAATACAACTGTTACCAGAACTCTCACTTCTGGTGTCTTAAGTGATGTTGTGACGCATTTTAAATGTCTGTTCCCCTCCTTGGTTAGCTTTTGCCAAACTGAAGAGTTGGGAGTCAGCACAGGCAAATTTTGCCACTTATATTTTATTTCTAATGCAGCTTTTGGATGTTAACTGCTTGGAACTTGCTCATAAAGCGCACACTGTTCATGAACTAAACCCCAGTGCCGAAAAGCTACTGGCAGCATCTCTTTGCATTTTGGCATGCTTGTATTTGCATTCTGTAAGCTGTCTAGCCTCCTTAACTGTGCTATAGATCTCTCTCCAACTACAGGATGTCCAAAAAGGTTGTTTAAAACTTGACAGACCCTTAATATAGTGGCTTAGAGGTGCTGCTGTCTGTTTATTCAGCTCACCATAAATTACTGCTTCAAAACAGAGGCCATATATCTGAGTTGATTACCTCAGGACATGGTTATTATAAGATGTATGGACAGTGCACTTCAATAAATATTATACTAAGCAGCTTAATTAAAGTTGTAGTTTCTAAATGAAAGAGAAAACTACCACTAACCTGACTGTCAAATTGCTGAAAAGTGAACATTTTTGAAAAACTTTAATCATCTTTCATCTAACTCCCCCTCAGTTCTTCGCAGGTCAGCTACATTCCCCAGAATAACAGCAAAATGCTATTTGCAAACTGAGTTGGGAAAAGAGCACTGAGAGGCTGGGATTCTTGTAGCATGCTTCAGAGTGAGTTATTCTGGGGATAAGAACCATGCTGCCGAATAGATGGAAGAGGAAGGGCTGAGCCTTCTTTTCCAAATGTTTGTTTCTGTAGTCTGACAACCTCATTGTTTGGACTTTAGTGTATTTTTCCATACACAGGGAGTTTCCTATTTCATCTGAGGCAGTGGCTTGGTTGCTGGCAAACAGCTAATAACAGAGTTCTATTAGGTCAATCCCATATGGTTATTTGCTTAATAACCATGCCATTAAGCAAATCCCTCCCCTTTGGATACTAGCCATTCAGAATACAAGAACTTATTTGTCTGTTGAAACATTAAATTATTATTCAAATGAGGCAATCACAACAATACAGCAATCTGCAGAGCTGAGAGATGTGGCTATGTATCATTAACCTTACAACACTGCAAGTCTGTGCTGGGCAATTCCACTGTTTAGTAAAAGAAGCCACTTAAAGCCGAAGTAAAGTGTTCTTATAGTTGCATCCCTTCATTTTCCAGGGACTAACTTGGCCAACTGTATCTCAAATAATGCAGTCTCTACAGTGCCAGACTGGAAAAGGTTAAGGCCACAAGCACTAAAGTAATGTAATCTCTAGTGAGCAAGCCTTGGCAAACCAGCCAGATGGTGGCTGATGTTAACAAAAGTACTAGAATTTAACTAGCATTATGGCATGGTTAAGGAAGAGCAGAGGTGTTTGTTAGATTCTATATTAAATCTAATAAATATATTGAGAAAATGTTCAAGAAATCTCCTGAAAGGTGGAGAATTTGGAGAAGAGGCTGAACCTCAATGCTCAGGCTCACTTCTTGCAAGCCACATTAGGATTGGATCATCTGCTGTTTGGAAATTAGAGACCATCATGCAGAAACTATGATTGAAAATAAAATTTCATCCTTAACCTAATATCAGAAATCTTACTATAGGTTGAATCTCTCTAGTTCAGAATCCTTGGGACCTGACTGGTGCCAAACCAGAGAATTTCCCAGACCACGGGAGGTCAATATTGTCTAGCAGCATGATCCAACCCTTCCACTGCTTGCTGGGCTCTTAGAAAACATTTAGGGGTGGATTAGAGCAAAAGAACACAACCCTGAGAGCCAGGACTGGTGGCTGTAAACTTTATAGAACTATGGGAAACTTGGCCACCCCCATGATAAATGGACATCCAGCCAACTAAAACCATGCCATACTACAGATGTTGCCAGACCAGAGTGTGCCAGACTAGAGAGGTTCAACCTGTACTAAAAAGCGGTGGAGCAGTTAACTTATTACAGATGAGCCTTACAAGCACATACTTTAAAGACCACTGAGCTGCTGTAGCTTTCATGAATTGGCTCTTTTATTAATACATGTGTATTAGGCAGGCTTTTTTAAATTTTATGCTTAAGAATAAATATACTAGGGAAATTCAGACTCTCAGAAGCCAAAACTATGGAACTCTGAATTAAAATGAGCAATAAATGTCTAACATTTGAGCCGTAACCTTTGAAAAGCTTGCAGGGTATTTTATACCAACTCCTTAGTCATGCTTTAGATTTGAGTAACTCTTCAAATCCTGTTTATGGTTGTAAAGTAATTAACTCTCTACAAGACCATTCTAATAAAAAAAATTTCATTAAACAATCTAGATGTTTGACCTGCATTATTCAATATGAACTGAAATTGGAAAATTTAATGGTAAGGAAAAGGCATTTGATTGGCCAAATACATTGCTAATTCATGACTGAGCGTGCACTAATGCTCAGTACTAACTTGTCACCATAACACTGCTTGCTTGCATTCTTATTAATATAGCATGCAAAAAGAATGGCTCTGTTATGTTTGCCTTTAACAAATACCAAATACATTCATGACTTAGAATGTAGTTCATGTTTTGCATCACTAACCTCTCATGTCATATTTTACTTTTTTTAGTGGGGAATCCTATCATAAATGGGGTTTATCTCTATTCTTTGGTGTTTGGTGGAGGTGTGCCTTTTTACTATTCTTGACTTGTAGCCAAAATATCTTACCCATCACCACCAGATTAATGTTCCCCTCCACTGTCTAGTCTGTTCTTCACAGTGTAGTAGTGATGGGGAGCAATCCTGTCCCTTACCTTCCCCTTGAGGTTGAGATACGAACAGGAATCTGCAGAAAAGACTTTGGGACGCTAAACCACTAGCGCTAAGTGCTTCCAGGGCCTCTGCCATTTAGAAAAACTGCTCATCTCTGCATTCTGAATTTGAAATGGCATAATGCTGTAATGAACTGTGAGCTGGAAAGTCTTTAATTGTAACTAACTGGTGTGCACATGTTGGTTCCAGGATATGAGAAACAAGATGGGTGATATCTTTTATTGAACCAATTTCTGTTGGTGAAAAACACATTTTCAAGCTACACTGACTACTTCATGTCGGGGGAATAGGGGGGGCTCTTTGTAGCTTGAAAGCTGCTTTTTCACCAACAGAAGTTGATCAGTAAAAGATATTACACCTTGTTTCTTTATCTGGCATTTGAGTCTAGTATGTAATGCTTGTGGTGAGGGCAGCATAAGAACCTTATGTACAAGTTACCGAGTCTTCAAAGTTTCTTTAATACTTTTTTAAAAGTACTTAAAATATTCTTTTTTCATTAAACAATTTAGTTTTGCTTTTATCACTGTAATTCAGCCACCTTATTGACAGTACATAGGCTTTTTCTTCAGATGACGCCACAGTACATAATTGGAGCAGAAAATGCATTATAGACTGGTTAAATCTACACAGGGAATTTAAGTAAACAGAAAGTTATATAAATTGGAATCCTATTGCAAAAAGAGCCATGGGATATTATGATTGTGGTAGGGACTTGTTTAAGCCTTGTGTAAAAAGCTATCAGCATAAGACCTTTGGTGAGGAACTCTAGTGCCACCTACTAAGACAGCAATACCGAACTGCCATAACCCAGATTTTCCAGGCTGTTTTTTCTAACACCGTTGAACACAGATTTATATAAATATGATCTGTTGCTAAAATGGAGTAAAAATTATGATTCTAATTCCACCTCTGCCAGTAATGGTTCAGCAAGACCTTCTGCAAAGATCTTCCATTTATGCAGTTGTAAAATGAATCCTACTTAGCCATTGTTTCTGTTTGAGGCTTAGAGTTTGACATCTTGGAGCTCTTCAAGAGGGTTTTAAATTGCCTTTCCATGCCAGCTTGACAGAGGAATAAATCACTTACTTGTGTCTTCAGAAGCTGAAGTGTAGCCGTTAGTGACACTTCTAATGTGTGTATGATGAGTATGAACACTTGGTTACTTTGAATGAAAACATTCAGTGTTCATGAGATTATTAGCTGTTCTTCAGGGCTTTCTGCTCTTTTCCTAACAGCCACCAAAACAACAAGATTGAGAGTCCCTTCTGTGTCACCTTCTAGATATCTGTACCAGGAAGGGCCAGAACAAAACTCTCCCTTGTTATTGATCAAACTACAAGATGTTCCCCACCAGACAAGGGAAAAGAAGCTGACCCCAACCTTTTCTTAGGACCATTATATTAATTTGACTTAGTTTCTTTTTCTTCTATCTTTAACAGACCTCTCCGCTAGATATCATATATTTGTTCCTTAACAAGTAATGGGGGAGATACTTGACTAATACTCTCTCTAGATGCAAAATTCATTCTTTTTCTTCCAGAGTGGGTGTCTGCAAGGTAGTGATTGGGCACTGCAGTATTGTTTCAGCTTGTTTCTGTCAGGCAGGTGATGGAGGTGGCTGGGGAGGAGCTACCCAAATTTCATCGTTGTTCTGAAGTGGCTTGTGTGCGCATATGCAGGCCTTGAACTTGCAAGGCCTCTGTTAAGCTGTTGTCCTATCCTGATCTGTTCCTTTCCCCTTTGTTTATAAGGAAATATTCCTGAGCTGAGCTTAATGACAGTTCAACCACTGTAAATTTTATATTTTTCTGGGTTTTTTCAGACTCTAATTCCAATGTTCAAGAACCACTTAGGATCCTCTCTTCAGAGCCTCCTACAGAGTCAGCGAGCAAGGATTTGCACAACCATTTTGTGCTTGATGTTGACAATGATACAGAAAGCACTGCCCTGTAAAAGAAACCAAATGCTCCAAAACTTTTTAAAAACCTTTCTGTCCTCATGGAAAACGAACAAATCAAGACCTAACAGTGAAGAGCTTTTTTTTTTTTTGAAGATACGGCAGAACTGTATGAAGGCTCACTCTAAGTATGTGTAAAGCAGAAGAAGTTTAATGATCTGTGTCTTGAAACTGGTTTAAAAAAATCCTGGATGGAAACAGTTGATTACTGTGGAAATGTATATAGGAAGCTTAATTGCTGCTAACAGAGATGGCATTAGCAGAAATCCCAAAAGAATAAAAGGCAGTACATCAGTTATTATTTAAGGTGCATGTATGGAAATAACCTTCTTACTGTGGTTCCTAGTTCTTAAACATTATATATTAAAAAGGAGATGCCTTGCAAGAGACTTTCCCTCACTGACTTGCTGCAGAATTTTGTTCGAGTATGAACCGAAAATGCTAGAGCTGGTAGTGACTGCTGGTTATCAGTCACCTTTCAAAACTGTGGATATATTCTAGTGCCTTGATGGACTGTCATATTGTAGAAAGAAACTTACTGTATCTCTAACCATTTTATTGTTACTTTAAGTACTGACCATTATCGTTATGTCATAGTTATCTTTATTAACCATACCTGCTTTTTATGTGAAATTCATAACTGTTTCAAGGTGAAACTGTGGAAATGTTTATGCTTTCATTTAAATTGGTTGAATTTTGAAAAATTTGAACAGCTGTTTCGATTCATCAGTTAGATGAGCATTTATCAAATTAAAGGATTCTGTCTTTTGTCACTTGAAGGCCTGTTTATTCCAGTATCCTGATATAACTAACTAGTCCTTGCATCTCTGATTCATTGAAAACACAGCAGAACTGCAATGTTGAGCTTTAACTGCTACTCTTTAAAGCAGCCACATCTGAAATGTAGTGCCTATTAATTCTTCAACCATGAAATATGGCTGAGAGTTTAACTACTGCAACTTTCATAGACCTATGCAAGCGCCATATTTATGACAGTGGGAATTTGTATCCTTTAGGCTACATCTACACTACGAGTTTCTCAGCAAAAAATATGCTAATGAGGGACTGTTTGCATGAGTTGTGATCTCATTTGCATATTTTCTGCTGATCCAGTTTTGCACTGGGGTTTCTGTGCAAAAACAAGAAGCGTGGACGTTTTCTCTTTGCGCAAAATCCCCTTTTTCCGCAAGATCGGTAAACTTTTTTGGGGGGGCATAAAGATCTTGCAGAAAAAGGGGGTTTGGCGCAAAAAAGCCACACTGCTTGTTTTTGCCCAAAAACTCCAGTGCAAAACCGAATTGGCAGAAAATATTCAAATGAGATTGACTCGCACTAATGAGGGACTCATTTGTATATCTCTTGCAGAGAACTTGTCGCATTGACGTAGCCTTAGTTTACAGGCTCATGTGCTTCCCAGGTCTCTATGACCCTGCCTCTGAATTTGTGTAAATCATGCACGGTGACTTCCATAGTCTATAGTTTCACACTATCCTAAGACTATTTATTAACATTTTATAGAGCAGTTAACACATGACACACACTGAAGTTCCTTCATTATTTCCACAGATCTCCACAGAGAATGTCAGGTTAAAAGAGCATTGTCTCTCTCTAGCATTCATGGTAGCTTGGTCAATTTGTTGCACTCAGAATTCAAGGGGGCCTTGAAGGGTGTTTTGTAAATGATGAAAACATGACATTACTAAGGAGGAAGTACAGTCTCAGGTATCACGGATACAAGTGACAAGGGGTAGGCCACACAGTTTCTGTGAGGAAGAAAAAGTGGAAAGCCTTAGTCCTTGACATAGAATTGAGACAATATTCACACAAGCAGCTGAAAGTGATTTCTTTAACCCCTTCATCCTGTAACTTTCCATCCAGCCCATATTGGTCAAAATGTGAGATTAGCCCTTAGGCATAACTGGGGGAGCATACTACCTCTTATAGGCCTTAGCAGGTTACGCTTAAGTCCTGCAACCCTCCAGTACTATAGGGAGAAAAGAAATCGTGCATTTCAACATGACTCCGCCTGATAGAAAACAACTTTGTTCTAATAGGTTCTGGAGTAAAGCTTCCCCCATTTATTTAGCCTGACTTCTCCCCTCACAGGGCTGAAAGGGCCCTGAGCTACCATTTAGGAAACCAGCTTTCAGCCCTTGCATTCCTAGCAACCTTCCCCAGCCGGATTGGGAGGGGCAGAGCTCTAAGCAGCATGGCCTGTGTCATTGTACAACCGATGGACAAAACGGGCAGCAATTCTCAACAGGGAAGGAATCACTTGGGCTTAGTCTATGCTACCACCCCTCTGTTGATCTAACCTATGCAACTTCAGCTACACTAATAACAGGACATGCATCTGACGAAGTGGGTCTTTGCCCACGAAAGCTTATGCTCCTACACTTCAGTTAGTCTATAAGGTGCCACAGGACTCCTCATCACTAATAACAGAGTTGATGGGAAAGCACTCAGAGGTTGATTTTACATCTCTAAGCAGATGCGATAAATCTGCTGCTGGTGGATCAATTGCTGCAGTGTCACTCCACTGTCTAGTGTGGACAAGCCCTTGTTAACAGTCAATTAGTCATTCTCCAGATTCCACTCTTAACATTTGTCTGCTTACCCATCACTTCACCATTATGTGAGCTAGAAGTTTGGTTCCATAGAGAATACAAAACGCTAACCCTACACCTTAACTATCCATCCTGACCAGCTACCTTGCAAATCTGCAGCAGTACCTGAAGCCATGGCAGGCTGTAAAGGGTTGTTATACATTTTCAGAAATGCTTCTGGACTTAGAAATTCTGTTGCCTTGCACAAATAGTTAATAGTTTCTGCTGGGATGAGAAGTTCTGGTACAAGGGTGTGCAGATTGTCACCCAGTCCCTTACTGCTCACCTTTGTATAAAGGAAAATAACAGTACTTCAGTGCAGTTAGCATTTTATGCTACAACTAAGTTAAATATACCCAGGGCATTTTTATTCCCCACCTAAGGGAATGTGCTAAGAGATACACCTTAGATTTTCTTTCCTATTTACAAGTGTTGTAATGCCTCTGTTCAGAACAGTGGAGCAAGCTCCGTTAGATACCCAGCATCTAGAGGATAATGTAGCTGATGGGGGTTGACAATGAAATCTGTACCGTTTTTCAGCTTGAGTTAAAGTAGTCCATGATGAACTACAAAGGTGTAGCCAATGGCTGCACGAAGCAAGCTAGAGTAGTTTGGAAGATAGAGGTTTGAAATAAAAGCCCAGTGTTTTTGTCATTGCCCTCACTACACCATTCTAGAGTCCAAGGAGGAAGGGAGAGAGAGAGAGATGCACATATTTGTATCTATAAACTAATTTGAAAAAAAATCTGAGCAGTATCTGCGGGCATTGGATGACTTGGGTTTTGCCCAGGAAAGCTCATGAGTCACTACATATTGGTTTGTCTCTAAGCAGTCACAGCACCACTCTTTTTGAAAAATATAAGGACATTTAGAATCTGAGCTAATAACTTGAACATTTCTATTTTAATGTAAGCTGTACCTTAAAAGTCTTTGAAAGATATGTTCCCAGTTTGAGGAGAAGCATAAGACACTCAGTCACCACCTCTTCTGCAGACTGCGATTGTGTCAAATCTTCTAGGTATGTCACAGGCCGTGTCACCATTGTGACATACCACTGCAGGAAGAGCCTGGTTGGGATGTTGTGCGATACCACTAAAATCCTAATTTCCTGTAGCAAAGCACTGAGTGAAGAAAGTTAGCTATAGTCTAAATTCCATCATTCTTCTGTACAGGTAAAGGGTTCTGACCAGAGATGGGGTACCCTTATTTCATAAACTGGCAATGTTTGATAACTTGCATCATGTGGCCCACACTATTTTTAACTTGTTTTAACTACCTACTTCTATATTATATTTTGTAACTATTGATATGGTCTGCTTGTTCTGCCACATCTTAAGGTGCTTATCTTGAGGGATAATTATATATTCTAGATGTATGTTTTTGAATGGTTGGAGTTTATTCAGACAATGAATTTGGCTGCTGTTGCAGTCAATTACATTTTAGGCTGTGTGGCAGGGGGTAATTAGAAGGAAGTTCACCTATAAGAGAACAGAGCAGGGCTTCTATAAAGCCAGGAAGGGAGCAACAGGGTGGAAGTCTGCAGGCTTGCTCCCTGAGGAAAGGGAGAAGATGCCTTTTGGGTGAAAGCAGTAAGTTGGTGTAGATGCACATCTTAATTGCTTAGTGAAGGTCCTAGACTCAAAATCTAGAGTGAAGGACAGGCCTGGGTCCCTCTACTGTCATTACAGAGTGACATGGCAAGGAGCAGTGAATGGGAAGATTGCTTGGATCACTCCTGCAGTGACTCAAGCATTCAAGGCAGCTGGTGTAACAACTACATAAGATTGTTTCTGGAAAAAGACTTTGAAAGACTATCCAAAATGGAAAAACAGTAATCTGAATCACAAAGCAGCCATGCCAGGCCTCAATGATTGGGAGGGAAGCTACAACAATGAAAGAGACAAAAAGGAGAGGTAAAATGGGTGAAGGCAACTACCAGAAGGAGGCATCAGTCATAAGCGAGTAGCACAAATAATGACAATTGTATCTAAACATGTTTTCAAAGCAGAATTTGGAAACTGCAGCCAAATTAAATGCTAGACATTGGATCTTAGACAGCAGAACTGCTAAAGAATTAAAGTTCAAAGCCAATCAGGGAAATTTCAATGGAGGAGTTTGGCAATTTTATTAAACTCATTGCCTAGGGCCCTACAACATACACTATTATGGTCAATTGCACAGCCCAAAGATTTTGAAATTGTTCAATTTCCCATGTTTACACTGGAAACTTCACAGGTTTGTAACTGTGGGGATCTTGACCCAAAATGGGATCATGGGAGAGTTGTGATGATGTTGTAGAAGGGTCCCCAAGACTGCCACCCTCATTTTTGTGCTGCCTTGATAGCTGGACTCTGAAGGCAGCATCCTCCCTGCAATCAGAGGAGGTTCCTCCCCAAGATGCTGGGAGCACCTTAGCTGGCAGCTCCTAGTTTGTAATCCATGCCAGGAACAGATTAAGGGCAGGCACCCCTGGCCAATCTGGAGACCCCAGGAAAAATGGGTGCCCCAGCCCTGGAGAAAATCTTAGAACAGAAGATGGTATCAATAACTCAAAGGCCTGGCTGCAGCAGCAGCAGCTGCAGCTACCTGGAACAGATACCTAAGGCAGGATGAGGCAGGAGGGGAGGGAACCAGAGCCCAGGCTGCTATTGGGAGAGAGAGAGCCTCTGCCCAGCAGTAACCATTGTAGGAGCCGGAGAAAGCCTGGAGCTTGGCACCAGAGCTATGACAGGAGCTGCTGGAGAGTTACCAGGGAACAGAAGTCTGGAGCCCTCATTTTTGCACTGCTTCTGGAGATGGGTCTGATCTCCCAACCAAGAGCAGCTGTGCAGGGGCAGGACAAGTTCTGTGTCTCCCTGTAACAGCTGGACTAGCAGTTAAGCACTCTAGGTGCCCACCTGTGAAGATCGGATTTCACAGAGGGTGGTGGATGTCACAGTTCAACACACCTTTCTCACAACTATGAAACTGGTAGGGCCCTACATATAAGGTACTGAAGAGGCAAAAAGCCATTCCTCCTTGCAAAAGAAAGAGGCAATTGGCTCCTGAAAAACAAGGAGGGGACACAAACGATAAATCTAAATGAGGAAAGTATTTTTGTGCTAAAATTTATCCCAACGCATGGTTTCTAGGTGCTCAACAAGAGGAAATACTAAGATATTCCTCTACTTATAATAATTAATTAGGTCAAAATGAGCATTTAGTATAATACATTCACTGTCATTCCTGCATTAAAATGTATTTCCATGTGAGCTGAGTTAAGCCCTTCTGAAACACTTACCCGGAGCCTTGCTTCTGGAGAGAAGCTAGATCTTGGAGGATATGATACAATGTGCCACTGGAGGACTGCAAGGGGAAAAGGTACAGAGGTTCAGATTAAAGAACAATTAAATTACTATAAAGATAATTGAGCAGATGCTACTGGTATATGATGAGCTTCCGAGTTGGATGCCAGATGCTGAGGTGGGAGCACTAGAAAATCCAAAAGTTCATCCAGGGGTGGGGAAACTATTCTCTCTAGAATGATGTTCCACCTTCTTCACAAAGAGTAACAAACTGGGAGCACTACTTGAATAAACTGGAACAATGTGGCCTGTCCTAGAGACAATTCTTAGTTACTAACACCACTGCATCCTTTTTAAGGTTCTAGTCTTTTTCTTTAATGTCTTCAATGAATTAGACCATTAGTGAGTGCCTTGTACTAACATTCAATACACTGTGGTCACCAGGGAAAGTTGGGCAGAAAGAACCTGCCGTGTTTGCACAGGAATCAAGGAGACCGCTTATCTCTGGGGGAACACCTCATGGTTATAGACTGTATTACCAAAGGAGATCTGCTTAACCTACCTCTAGTATATGAAGGATGGAGCTGGGATAGAGAAGAAGTAGACCTGAGACTGGTTCTCCTAGGTGGTATTTTAATATGTTCTGAAACAGTCTTTCATGGTAACCTTATTTAAAAAACACAAGGATTGCCTGTCATATGGGAATACAGTGCACAACTTTCAAAAACTAGTGTTCCACGCCACCCTAGGCCACTACTCACTACTGCCACAGGCCATTACTAACTAGGTAACTTAACTAACTCTCTCTAAATCTAAGAAGAAACATTAAAAATAGTCCTTGACTTGGGAAGTCTATTCTCTTCCTATATGCATGCATATGACCCAATTATGCAGGGAAAAAACAAGACTCATAAATTTTTGTGAACTGACTTTGCTCATGTATCATGCTCAGTCATACTAATCCAATTGATTAGTGGTTGATATAATTAACATAAGGTTTCAGTAATAGCCTTATTAATATCACGGTGCACCTAAAACTGTAATATTTGAGTGTATTTGCTGAGGGACTGGCAAAGAGTGCCCAGAATTCCCCTATTGTTTGCACTGAATGTTTAGTTCTGTCTTGGTTGTGGTGATGGTTTTCTTTAACTATGCAGTACCCAAAGACTATATGGGTTGGAAATGCTTTAGAAATAAATATCAGAGTTTTACAAATGCACATGAACCAGAATCCTGGCTGCTGGCTATTGGAGCTAAATGTATAGCAGTTAATGACCCCAATAACTACAAAAACAGGACTGTGTAGCACTTTAAAGACAAACAAGATGGTTTAATAGGTGATGAGCTTTCGTGGGCCAGACCTATTAAAACTCATCACATATTAAACCATCTTGTTAGTCTTTAAAGTGCTACATAGTCCTGTTTTTTCTTTCAGCTACACCAGACTAACACGGCTACATTTCTATCACCAATAACTACTGCATCCTCATTCAGCAAGGTATTCAATGTACAATAATTGATTGGTTTAACAAAGTCTTCTGCTTTGAAAATAAGGATCTCCCCTTTTCCTTTAGGCCTGCTTATTGATAGCTGTGCTCTCATTTCCTTCAGTAAGTACGAAGCAGGCACTCTGGTCAAGTGATAAATTTGTATTGCAATAATATGGTGTGTAACCAAATAGTGGGTTCGTCTGTACTTCTACACAGTGTACACACAGCTGAAGAGGGGATCAGGCTGACATCTGGGGGTTGTACTCTACCATAGCAGCATAAATCTTCAACTGTTACACCATTGTGAGCGCATCACAGTAATTGCTACTTTCCATATTTGATTTGAATTTATGCCAAGTCTGTGCTTGTTGAAGACCAAGTCAGCTCCTCCTGGTATGTAACTGAAAAATTACCCCTTACTGTAAAGGCAGAGAAAAAATGATTTAACGAATCACCCAAACCAGTACGATGGTGTGATGGCAGAAGGAAATATCAGCTTCTCTCACTCATTCCTTCTCAAGTTCAGCTATGAAGCAATTAGTGTGTCAAAGGCTGAGGATTTTTTAATTGTATTTATCACTTGTTATACCAAACAAAAAAGGTGTGTTGAAAGGCTGCAGCCACCCCTGCCCCTCTGCGTACACAATACATTGGATTTAAATCCAAGTGGTGCTGCATCTTCAGAATAGAGTGAGCTCAAAGTGCTCAGTTTTTTTCTCTTGTTTGGGGATGAAGCTGTGAAAATAATGGAGTCAGGTCATCCTCAGCCATGACACTGGGGTGTGTGGTGTGTTAGCAGTACTTGAAAAATACATGTCTTCTCTGCATAGTTGTTAATTGTAACTATTTAGTCTTTATGGTGCTACTAGACTATTTGTTAAGTTTTTCCTGTTACAGACTAACTCGGCTACCCCTCTGAAGTTTATTTACTCACAGTCCCTCTTTTTTTATTCTTCCTCCCCTCCTGCCTTTATTTATTCTTGGATCTGGACTTCTAACAATCCTGTCATGTGAAGAAATGGGTTGTGCCCAAGAAAGCTCAGGATACCATCTACATGTTTTGTTAATCTTTAAGGTGCTAACTAGACTATGTGTTGTTTTTTTAAGTTTTTCATGTCTTCTCTGGTTATCACAGGTTTGCTCCAGGTGTTATGGATGAGTATGAGGAAGAATTTATCATTTATCTGGCATCAATGAGAAATGTATTTGTACAGCAAGCTTTGTTCTATTAGCCCCTAATTACTTAATCAAGGAATAAACCTGATTAAGGTAGTGATGTAGCTCATTACTTCCAGGATCATCAATATACCTGGCTTTACTTTAAAAGCATTTTAGATTTATTATAGGGTCCAGCAGGACTGGTGCATCCTCCTACGCACAGACACCAACTTCTTCTCAAACTGGAGGGTGCCTGATATCCCCTAAATTCCCACCCCACCTCTTCCCTGCCTCCTTCCCCAAGCATGCCCCATCTCCCCTCTCTCTCCTAGCTTCCTGAAGGCTGGGAAACAGTTTTTCCAGGCAGGTGGGAGGCACTGGGAAGTAGAGGGAAGAGTTGGTCAGCAAGGCCACTGATGGGTGAGAGGCATTGGGGGGGGGGCTGCCTACGGTGTTGAGCAGCTCCCATGCCTAGTCTGAAGTAGTCCTTATTTAAATTTATGTTTGCTGTTTGTCATTAATGCTGTCCTAGGAACTCTCCTCATTATTTTAAACAAACTACACAGGAGAGCAGCTGTTTCTGCAGGGTAGCCCTGGAATGTCCCTGCTACTCCTCACCTACCAGAGTCTGCATCCTCAAGGCAAGTCTCTCAAGTTAAAAACAGTCAAAAGGAAGATTTTGCTGTACCTGTGACCTCTCTCCTGTCTGCTCTTTCTGACAGCTTGGCAACAAAAAATAACCTGTGCAGCAGGAACTTCTAGCCAGGAAAGAAAACCGTAAGTGATTGTGTAAATGCTGTTGTTCCCTGGG